TGCCTTCAAAGCCTTCGAAGCCTTTTGGCGTGACCCTCCCAGCCTCCCTCATTTACTTCTTGTAAAGTGGGAGGAAGGGGAGAAGAAAGAAGAGATTATGTTTTAAATTATTTTTCTAGACGAGGCAGTTGGAGGAAGGGAGAAGAGAGAATGTGGAGCGGGAGGAAAGGAGAAGAGAGAAGGGAATGTATTCTAAATTCCACCGCCCTCGGAATCTTTTTTGTTTTTTTTGAATTTCATCTCTCGAAAAATTAGAGGAGAAGAGAGAAGGGAATTTATTCTAAATTCCACCCGCCTCGAATGTTCTTTTGTTGTTTTTGTTTTATTATTCGAAGATCAGAGGAGTGGAGACGAGACAGTGTTTTTGTTTCTAGAACTGGAAAGCGGGGGGATTGAGGGGGGCGCAGCTCGAGGAAGCCTTCCGAGCCCCCTTCGTCCTCACCCTTCCAAGCCTTCGGAGCCCCCCCCTTCGTCCTCGCCTTCGAAAGCCTTCCAAGCCCCCTTCGTCCTTCGTGCTCGCTTTCGAAGCCTTCGAAACCCCCCCCCCCCTTCGTCCTCGCCTTCGAAGCCTTCGAAGCCCCCTTCGTCCTCACCTTCGAAGTCTTCCAAGCCCCGCCCCCCTTCGTCCTCGCCTTCGAGCCTTCGAAGCCCCCTTTGTCCTCACCTTCGAAGCCTTCGAAGCCCTTCGTCCTCACCCTTTCGAAGCCTTCGTTCACCTTCTCGAAGCCTTCGTCCTCCCTTCAAAGCCTTCGAAGTCTTCAGACCTTCAGACCCCCCCTCCGACCCTTCGGCTTCGAAGGCTTCGAAGTTTTTTTTTGAACCGTCGCCTCTTTACTACATCAGCAGCGCAGTAGGCCGTCCTTGTGGGTCTCAACACTAGAGGTGAAACAGTCGCAGGCGCGAAAACCAAAGCAAGCACACACCAAAAACACCACCAAACACAACCACAAAAACCCGCAGCAACCCGCCAAAACCAAAAGCGCCAAACGTCTAGGTGTCCCCCGCGCTCAGTACTCGAAGTCGTCGCAGAAATCCAGGTGTAATCAAGCAGCGCAGAGCATGCGGGGGAGTCGCAAAATGCGAGAGTTTGCCAGATCATCAAAACCACCATCATGAAGCCACTGGTGCAACGAAGGTCAGCACGGAAAGCTGTAAATCGAAGAAGGACAGCAAAGTTACCGACCAACACGGGCAGGTACCAGGCACACAGTGGCGAAAAGGGAAGGTACAGAGTGGCCAACTTTCCCAGAGGAGAGGCAAGGCCAGCACGCGCCCCATGGTGGTCAGCCAGTGGGGACTTGTCAGCAAGAACAGCGGATGCAAGACCAGCCCAGGGCACCCCATGGTGGTCAGCCAGCGCAATCCCCGAGCAACAGCCAACACAACTTGCGGCTCTATTATTGAAGCCCGACCCAAAGTTCCCAACACCCAGGCGCACAACTGTGCTCAGTCCGGCCACATACCCAAGTAGAACCTGGGGCCGCAGTCAGCAGAGCCCTCCTAGTTTCCCAGGGAGGAAGCCTGCGAGTAGCAACAGCTACCGATTCCGAGGGGAAAGACTACCAGACAGCAGTCAAACCCTTACTCTGGCCCGCAGCAAGAGGAAAGGCCAGCACGCGCCCCATGGTGGTCAGCCAGTGGGGACTTGTCAGCAAGAACAGCGGATGCAAGACCAGCCCAGGGCACCCCATGGTGGTCAGCCAGTGGAGCAACCCCGAGCAACAGCCAACACAACTTGCGGCTCTATTATTGAAGCCCGACCCAAAGTTCCCAACACCCAGGCGCACAACTGTGCTCAGTCCGGCCACATACCCAAGTAGAACCTGGGGCCGCAGTCAGCAGAGCCCTCCTAGTTTCCCAGGGAGGAAGCCTGCGAGTAGCAACAGCCACCGATTCCGAGGGGAAAGACTACCAGACAGCAGTCAAATCCTTAGAGGAAAGGCCGGTGGTCAGCCAGTGGGGACTTGACAGCAAGAACAGTCCAGGGCACCCCATGATGGTCAGCCAGTGGAGCAACCCCGAGCAACAGCCAACACAACTTGCGGCTCTATTATTGAAGCCCGACCCAGAGTTTCCAACTGTGCTCAGTTCGACCACATACCCAAGTAGAACCTGTGCCTGACAGCCTCCGCCCAGGCCTTCAAGGCCTCCGACGACCGTGGACTTGGGGTCTTGGAGGTCCACTGCATATTTGGTTGCAGGGCACGTGAGCAGCTGATATGCATGACCGGCGAGAAAAGCCACCATGGCTGCAGAAGACTTAAAAGCTTGCAAAAGCGCTTCCGACCAGTCGTCTGGGTCGAAGTAACACAGTATGGCCGGAAGCTGCAACAGCAAAGAAAAAATCAGTAATGTACTGGGCAGTCAGAAACCCGTACTCGACCAAAGATGCGAAGGTTCGAGAGTTTGAAAGGCAGTTCCGCGGGCAGTTGGCACACGCATGAAAGCGACGAGCTACAAGTCACTCGGCACTCGGCAGGCACTGACGGAGGGATTCCAATACCACTACGTATGAGGAAGGCGCGAAATCTGGACTAGCTGCGAGAAGCAGAGCGGCTCCTCACGGAAGCTTTGGTCATGAAGCGCGCCGTCTTCGAAAAGGCTCCAAACGGTCAGTGGCTGTGACTCTGGCCACTTCTAATTGTTGTGGTTTCTTTTCATTTCGAATGGAATTGAATGCAACACATTATTATTGTTCAAAATCGTGCTTGTCTTGAAATGTCATGTCGTGTTCGAACACATCAAGCATGACACTCTCTCCACTAAGCAACATGCATTCTGCTCACATCACTCGCTCACGTTCGAATCTTTTCACGTGGTGGGGAAACAGTACCGAGCACGGCTGGTTGGATCTCGATCCCTCCTGTAAGACCCAAGACTGTTGTTGAGTCTCGAAAAGTCCTGTGAGACACAGAGCTCCTTTCCCCTTCGAGAGGAAAATGTTAGCTAACTCACTACCTCTCACAGGTTCAACCTAAGTGTGACGGCCTGAACAGGATACTCATCAGGTTCAGACGACAGGTCAAGAAGTTTCTGGCTGTCGCTGAGAGCTTGACGAGGCAGCTTCACCCGGTTGCTCCAAGTCAGGTTCAGGGTTCACAAACTGCCACTGAGACTGAAGAGCTGCAGCAGCCTCTCGTTGCTGCATCTCACGGTCTGCCATGAGATCGTCCAATACCTCAGCCACCCTCACGAGGGAATCCATATTCAAAGAGTGAAGCCACACTCGAAAATCATTTAGCTGATCTCGTGTCAACGACCGCGCCATGAAGAGTGCTGAAAAAGGTAAAGTGGCGAGAAGAGCAATACTCGAGCCTGTATGCATCAAGCAGACAAGCAAAACTGTCATCACACAAAGTAAGGCCCGCGCTAACAAGGGTCCCTGATTGCAACACGCTCGCTGAGCTGCCTGGTCCCTTCCCGGATACTGCCACAACCTCTTGTGCACACGGAGTCATCTCCTGACATAGTTGCGAAAACTCTCACATTAGTATACAAGGGTGGCGGGGGTGGGTTTTTCAAAAATGATCTATCAGCCTCTAAGAGCACTTTCCGGGCATCCTGCCCCTCGAGAGGTCCCGCTGCGACGGGTGTATACAGTAAGTACAAACCATACACAAACAAGCATAAAACTGATCGAGCAGTGGAAATAAAGTTGTGCAAAAAGGCAAGCACTAAAACAACAAGCAAATGTTTTGTTCACTGCAACATTTTGAGTGTTGTTTCCTTTGAACAATAAAGCTCTATCTTCTCCAGGTATTCGAAGAACGATACTTATTGTTCAAAATCGTGCTTGTCTTGAAATGTCATGTCGTGTTCGAACACATCAAGCATGACACTCTCTCCACTAAGCAACATGCATTCTGCTCACATCACTCGCTCACGTTCGAATCTTTTCACGTGGTGGGGAAACAGTACCGAGCACGGCTGGTTGGATCTCGATCCCTCCTGTAAGACCCAAGACTGTTGTTGAGTCTCGAAAAGTCCTGTGAGACACAGGGCTCCTTTCCCCAGTCACCTGAGCCGTGTGTCAAACCTTCAGTTTCGAGGCTCTCTTCACAATCGCCGAAACGATCCTGCTCGCTTCTGGCGATTCGTCCTTGAATCCTAACTTCCTAACCAAATCAAGTTGGAACCTTGAAGGTTGATCTGCAAGATTCGCTGGGGAGGCAACCCTTGCATACCACGGTAAAAATCCGTGAACATTTATTTTCGGTATACTTGGGAAGGCACACCAGAATTTAGATCGCCAAGTTGTCGATCAACTAAAAACACGGAAGTGATTAGATAAAACATCACATCCCCCAACAAAAGAGTGAGAGACAAGAACATGAAATGAAAGCATGCAATCACTCGGACAACCCTTCTCTTTTTTTACACAGACGGGGGCGTGGCACGGTGAAGAGTGCTTGCATATAGCAAGAGAAAGTGGGCAATCCCAAAATCTCTGCTGCCCGAGAGCGCAGTCGCTCGAGTTGCCACCTACACCCCCAATCAGGGAGGGCGGGCGGGACAAAATTTTGATCCTCTGAGCTGCACACAGCCACACTGCGACGGAGAGATCAAAATTCACATGGTGAACAAATCAATCATGTTCATGAAAATTCATGCACCCATGAATTGCAAAAGTATAAATGAAAATAAGGTGCTGTCTCGCTTGCGAGAAGGCGCTCTTATTTTCGGTATACTTGGGAAGGCACACCAGAATTTAGATCGCCAAGTTGTCGATCAACTAAAAACACGGAAGTGATTAGATAAAACATCACATCCCCCAACAAAAGAGTGAGAGACAAGAACATGAAATGAAAGCATGCAATCACTCGGACAACCCTTCTCTTTTTTTACACAGACGGGGGCGTGGCACGGTGAAGAGTGCTTGCATATAGCAAGAGAAAGTGGGCAATCCCAAAATCTCTGCTGCCCGAGAGCGCAGTCGCTCGAGTTGCCACCTACACCCCCATCCAGGCTACGAGAGCATACTGCAGACTCGACCCCTCAAGCTAAGGTACGCGCGCCGCACCTGATCGCAGGGCAGCTTGAAGGTTTCGGGTAAGGCATCGCAGGACATACTGCGTGAAGGCGGATCGGCAATGTTGGATGCTGAGGGAACACGACAGAACCAGGGCATGATCATGTCGGTCTCACAAACAGTCGCACACACGTGGCAAATCCTGGTGACTGACATGGATTTGGAGTAACCCTTGACCAAGGCGAACTTGGCGCCTTCGTTGTCATTGAAAGCTACCACGTTGGTGCTCCGTAGATGGCCCCTCCACAGTTGGATGCCAAGTAAGGTCGCCATTGTCTCGAGTTCGCCAATCCCGGTGCGGGCTGTGTGGGAAATGAGCGGCTGGATGTCATCAGCTGACAAAGGAAGGCAATAACACGACTTCACCGAACCTAGGGAAGACACCAGCACCCCGCCTAAACCACCATCACCAGCGTCGTGGAAACATGCATCGGTGAAAAGGAACCACGTGTCCTTGGCAGTTGGTAACACACGCCGGGGAGAGCCCTCAACGATTCTTTGTCTCAAGTACTTCAGAGCACGGCTCAAGTCATCAGCAATGCGCGTCTTGAAAGGAATCGCATGGGTATGCGCAGACAGCAACTTCAAAGCAAATTTCCCCGAGTGACCGAGGACCTGTGCATCAGCGAAGGCCAGCTTGCCGCGCATCTCGAGCGATTGAGAATGATTGAGGGTCCCCCTTGCAAGTGCTTCGCTAACTAGGCTGTCTAGAGCATCTTTCCTTCTGAGGGTATTGTCCACAATGACCACACCGGAACATGTCTCGGAAAGATCAAAGGCCACCCCGAGGGCTTCAACCCGGTCACTAAAAACGTCAGCTTTTGGACCGACCTCATCATACTGCCAGCCCAATAGGCGAAACAGCATCGCCATGGTCGTGTCGGTGTTGGCAGCAAGAGCGCATGTTGACGCAGAGATGAAGTCGTCGTAATAGGACGTCAGCGGCACAAGCAAGCACCGGAGTGCGATCCACTGGATGCACCTCGAGCACCTAATGAAACCATTGACTGATGCACGCGACCCAAATGGTAGGCAAGGCTGGTGAAATAGGTATGATTTCCCATCCTTTGGGCAGAACACCGCCACTATGGCAAAGCGTGACGACTCCCTCGACACACATAGCTGTCGATATGCGGATGTCAAGTCGTAAGACCTACCTAGGAGAGCACCTGACCTCCCCTTGCGCAACAAGCCGTTCGAGAGTTTGCTGAACATGGCGGCTGCCACGTCAGCAGTGTCCACGGTTGGCTGCTCAAGTGTGGTTACGCTGACGCCAGATCGAGAGTAGTCGTCGATCGGGCGCACTTTGCCATTCTGCAACAAAGGAAAGCGGGGTGATGCTATCTCCCCCGGGCCTAAGTCAGACCACTCGAGCGGTCCCTGCAACCATCCTTGTTCGACCTCCAGCAGGGTCTTCTCCCAAAGCTTCTCATCGAGCTCCGGATCGCCACAAGAACGCAAACTTGCACGCAAGGCATCATTGGCACGACACGCATTGGCACTAAGGGCCTCAGGCTCAAGAGAAGCAGGGGTGACCTTGCCAGGCAGCACACCAGAAGGCGGCGCAACTCCCACTAAGTCAAAACCATGGTGCATGTCCCTAGCTAGTGTGCAATCGCCGTACCCTTCCGATAAAAGGATCTCATCAAGCAGTTGCAGCCTCTTTCGTCCAAGGATAGCGCGCATTGCAGGATCTTGGATGTGCCAATCAGGATCAGGGTTCTCCTGGATGGCCTTGGCACGAGCCGTCCAATGCGCAAGCCATGCCGCACGCTTAGTGACAACTGAAGCCTCAGGCATGACAAGCAACGCGTCGACACACTCCTCCATGGCTTGGGGCAAGCTAGCAGCTACCATAGAGGCTCCTCGGATGCCCCACCTGCACGGCCTTGCGGACGAACTCGGCTTCAGAGTGGTAAACACCGAAGGTGTACAAGTGGGAATTGCATGCAGCCGCAGAAGCACAAGGTAGCTTAGAGCGCACGGGACCAGAGTCGGCGACATTTTCCAAGCGTTGCTTGACAGGTGCATCGTGGACTGGAGGCACAGTAGGGGACGGCGTGTCAACCCACGGCAACGGAAAGCCTAAGCTAAGCAGATAACGAACCTCTTTGGCACTGAGGGCACAACCCCTTTGCGGTGTGTAGCCAATCACCACGACTCTTTGTCCATGCCACGGCATGACGCAATGAAACTTTCTCGCATCAAAGCGCACCGGGGCACTTGCAATGTCGTGCAACACCCCCGGCAGCTTACCTGATGGCGTGTGCTTGTGAACTTTGCCCGCCGGGTCGTGAGCCCACACAAACCCTTCCGAAAAGTCCGAAAGTGCAACCCCATAGTTGAGTGTACCCTCTTGATTGCACATATCTTTGTGCATGCCCTGCAACATATCGCAAAAGATAGCAACACATGAAAACCTGGCATCGGGGATCTGATGCCTGAGGAACCGGACCAGTGCTCGGGTGAACACAGGGAACATGGAAGCATTCTTTCGGACGCCGACACAGCCTCCCATGGCATAAGCACCTGATGACCAAGATTTTTCGCTCGCGCGAATCCCGGCCATGCGTTTAGAGGGGTCAGCATCATGCAAAGCAAATATGCTCAAGAGCTCCTCCCGTGTGGGCACATCGCCCAGACGGCTGGCAGCCAGCTCAGCTTCATGCGAGAAAACATCCTGATTTGTGTCCACACACGATGCAGCACTCACCTTCTGTGGGTTAGGGCGCCCGGTCTCAGAACTCGTGACCATGGGCAGCTTAGAGAGCTTAGGGGAAGAGGAGTGGGCCGCGGACGTCGAGGCCGTAGTTAACTTAGGGTGAGGAAGGGAAGGTCCACAGAAGGGAGAATCAGATCCCCCCACTGCTGCACTTGCTCCTTGCATCCTTCCCCCGTTGAGAACCAGGGAGTAAGTGCTTGGATCCGGCAGGCACGCACACGTCACCCACGACCAGCTCGTGCTTCAGTTTGCCGTCCTGAAGAGGGGGCAGCTCCGGGAGGCGAACATTGGCAATGCACTTAAACTCAGGCACCAGGCAAAGATGCGAACGTCGGGGCTGCAAGCGAGTGGGGCCGGGAGCGAGGGGCGGGAACCGCAAGAACCCGAGAATGGCAGTCCCCACAGCATCATAAAAGGCAGCAACAACCTCTGGAGGCACACGATTGGTGGTTGTGGCAGTGGACACATGCACATGCTGACATGGAATAGCCAAATGACGGAATGCTTCCGGATGACGAGTGGCCAACCTGACAGGCGAGCGGTGCATATGGCCAAACTGGCACATGTTGACAGTAAGGGACGGCAGGGAGCTGGCCCACTCATCTTGCCAAAACAGAGATCGCTCACGACACTCAAGGGACCAAGGGGTAGAGGTGTCGTCGCAGTGTTTAATGAGTTGGCGGGTCAAAGACAACACAGCGGAGGCATCATCACCCAAAGGGCTTAAGTGGGCTTTGTGTGCAATCGGGAAGACAGTAGATGGACACCGAATGTGCACCCACAAGCACAGTTCCTCACGTGCCCATGAGGCACACAGCGCAAGCCCTGCAGGGCTCAAGAGATCGGCATGAACGATCGGGGCACGTGATGTGGCAGAACACCCGTAACCCACCCCAAAGGAACAAGGCAAAGCACGACGCACTGCAGCCGTGAATTGGGCATGTTTAGCAAAGACCTCAAGGCAAAAACCCCGCGGAGTCTCACCCACACATTGCGTGACGGGTTTAACAAGCCGAGGCACCTGGCTTTGCACATCAAAATCAACAGGCAACGAAGCACGATCAACGGCAGAACAAGGAAAATTGACATCATCGGTGGACGATGTAGGAACAGCGACAGCCACAAGGTCGCCTGTGCACAGGTCTGCTGATAGTCACTCAGCAGAAGTAGCAACGTCAGCAGCTTCATTGGCTTTCGGGCACAGGGAGAAGGGGTGCTTGCCATAGCAATTGGGTCTGCAACACACATGCTCGAACTTGCAAGCTTTGCCCTTTTTGCACTTGCCCAAGTTATAGTTGAAACAAATCGGCTTATTCTTGGGAGTCCTGCTATGGCAACCCTGAAGCTCCTTGGGCACGGGATCGCGAGTGGTCTTGGCCTTCTTCTTGTCGCCACCTTCATCGCCATCGCCCGAATGCTTGCGCTTGTCTCCCTTGCCTTTGCCTTTGCCCTTGCCCTTCTCCGGTGTCGGCAGCAAGAAGTACATGATCTCAGTGTTGCCCGGCAAATTGCGAAACTCTGCATCCAGTGGCAGCGAGCCATCGGCGAGGGCTTTCAGCCTTCCATTGGCTCTCCGGGCCAACTCGACGAAGACCTGGCGATCTGCACGAAGGACCTGGGCACGAGAGACCCGGGAGAAGTTTGGAGGTGGATCCTGGTTCATCACATCGAACAGCCGCTCGATCCACTTCTGCATCACATCAAAGCTGGCGAGGCCCACTAGATCCATGGCCAAAGCGCGCCTCATGAAACTCAGGTAAAGTTCGTGATCTGAGGTGATGTTCATTGTATTGGTGATTTCCTCATCCTTCACGATGAGGCCCGACTTGCTTGCATCCAGCTGCACAGACTTCGGTGCCTTGCTGCCGGCCAACTCCTGATCCCGGGTGATGCATTCATCAGGTGGGACAAAGCGAAGCTCTTCGGTCTCTCTCATGTGAGCAAAACGATCGTAGAGGCTGTGCGCGCATTGCCATGCACCTTTGGCCAGAGGCAGTCCCTTCAAGCGAGCTGCTTGCTGCTCTATCCGCAGAGCACGTTCTGCAGCCGGCAGCCTGCGTGGAGCATCTTCACCAACCTGCACCGAACTCCGAAGCTCGGCGATGCAAAGTGTCTGAGCTTCAAAGACCAAGCGCTTAAGTGCTGCATTGTCGCCCGAAGAGAGAGCAACACCGGGTCGAAGTTTGCCGGCAAAGTCCTCGATGTTGGTGTCAGTCGCGGGCGTGCCCGGTAAGCTGACTGCATAGGAGACCTTGGACAAGGTGTCAACTTGCGCAGCGATCATCGCCTTGGTCCATTCATCAGAGAGGCCGACCTTTTCACATTGCTTCTCCAAAGCAGGCGTCGATGCCAACACGGAAGTGGCCGCCATGTTGCTGTCTTGAGGCAAAATGCCTTATGAAGATGCACGCTGAGCAAGCATTCCATCCAGTTGGTTTGTATCAGTTCATAACAGGCAGCACAAGTGTGATGCGTTCCTAAACCAAATCCACAAACCCCACTGTCAAGACTCGGCTGCACACCACCACACACGAGTGCACTCAAAGTGGACGGCATATATCAAATCCAAGCACGATCAAATGCAAGCGACTCGCACACGAGTTTCTTTAGCTGCGTTCAGCCACGTTCAGAAAACAAAATTGCATCGGCTCCCCTCGTTCCACACCATCATGTGGATGCTCTGGGTGCGCTCAGCGCGTCTAAGGCAGCCACCATACCGCCTTTCGAGGTGATCAGTTCACCACGAAAACATGTCGAGCATCGTGTCCATTTCGACACAGAGCCCTCAGGAAGATACAGGTAGGCATTCCCACCCGTTCTACGCGAGCACTTGGTCATCTCCGAGCCTTGCACCGCCTTGTGCAGCATCTTCGAACCTCTGTGCTGCCATAACGGGCCCGGCACATCAAAACTTTGGGCAGCTCCGGCATTCCGGAGGATGCCCTCCTCGGCAATCGATTGCCCTGAGGACGCATTGCTGTCACTTGAGCTACTGCTATCTGACTCATCGCTACTTGCACCCCCTGCATCGCGCTCACACTCAACGCCGGGCAGGGCAGTGTTGTCAGGCAAGGCACCCCCCCAGGAGGGAGGGGATGTCTCATCATCGTGAACATCAGCATGATCCCGAACTCCACCTTCCATAAACTCGCCAGGTGCATCCTGTGCAAGAAGCGGGCTCTCCGGAAACTCCTGTGGGGAGCGAGCGGCGCACGCACCAGCCTCTGGGCCCAACATATCGCTGGGAGACACGGCAGGTTCACTGGCAAGGATCCCACGTCGCTTCGGGTTATCAAAACGAAAGTCTGCATGTGAAGGTGCAAAAGCGGCGCAGTCGGACAACCAACCCGACCTGGAGGCATCTGGTTTGAACACCCCTGCTTTGATTTCCTTCAGCATGGCGACATAGGAGCGCAGCGGTGCGCTGAGAAGTTCACGTGAGTAGACTGCACGCGATTTGGACCCAGTGACATGGTGACCCAACATCAAACAATCGAACTCGGGCAAACCCCTCTTGCCACACCAGTTCAGAGTGGTGACCTTGAGGGAGTGTGATGATACCCCTGAAGAAGCATCCACTTCCAAGGCACTCCGCAGGATGGCTGACGCCTCTGCGCTGCTGCATTTCCGCTTAGAGACCCCTGAAAAACCCGGAACCCTCACCAAAGGTCCTAAGGGAGATGCATCCCACGGAAACCCAAGTTCGACGCCTGCTTGGTACCATGCACTGGCCCAGTCATGGCCTGACAAGCCGAACATGGGGGCAACCAGTGGCATGGCACGCTTGGCAGCTTTCTTGCAATTCCTAGTCTTGTGATGGGAGGTCTGTGCTTCAATAAAACCTTCAGTAGGAGCCCCACATTCATCAAACAAGATAAAGTCAAGCAAGCGATGATCGGACCACCTCGATCTAGAGTATAACGTGAAGAGCATCCCGCCCAAAAGGAACTTGTCTTGCACACAAGTCTCGCTGGAGGTCGTTCGAATTTCAAGTTGGATGACTTGCTCAACACGCAATGCTGTGGCTTGCTTCAGGGGACCACTATCAGCAATCAGCCTCTTCGCCCTGCCCTGAAGGCGCCTGTCGCTCAAGATCTCAGCACTAAAGGGGATGTCAACCACATGATGCGCAAAATTGATGGCCTGAAACAGAGTAGCAGTGGCACTTGCATACCCTTTAGTACCCTTTAGTGACTCGATATAACACGAAAGAGACTTGATGCTCCAGGGCCACGGGGACTTGCCTTGCTCTACATGCCACCGGAAGCAACGCAACAAGTCATTGGCTCTCTTTGACGCTGTTCTAGGTGCCTTCAACCCCAAGACATCACGGATGATGTCTTCCCGAGCATTGCCGTCCTCGGACCAGAAGCTGTCCTGAAGCATGGCACCTGTGCTTCCCTGGTGCTCGCACAAAATGAACACAGTAACCCACTTACTCAAAGCGGTGTTCCAAAGGTGCTCATCACTGTCAGCATTTTCATCTCTGGAAGCTTTAGCAGAACACTCATGAAACAAATGCGCATGCTTGCGTTTCCCAGAAGCACTCTGCACGGGCGCAGGTTCCGGCGGAGGGGAGGCAACCCCAGGTATGGGCACAAGAGAAGGTTGCCTCAGCACTGGTGGAGACAACACCCCGGCCATTCCCTCACCAAAGATGGCATTGAACGATCCGGTTTCCCAAGGGAACTTAGGCATGTTGTCAGGAATTGCAGCAAGCTGTGCCTCCACAAGCAACCTGTCGATGTCAAAGCAGCTAACCTCCCCCCCTTGAGAAGCTGATGTAGACATGGGCGGTGCGGAACTTGAGCCGGGTGCGGACATCAGACGGCACTCTGATCAAGCAGACAGCTGCAAGAGCTGTCGGGTGCACGCGTGGATCCTGTGGCCACTGCAAGCCAAACGGAACCAAGCCTGGGGACTAAGGCACAAGAAAATCCTGGAGCCCTCCGCAGTTGACAACAGAACCCCGGAAAAGGAGCTCTCGAGCACGTAACTGAAAAGGTCAGGGGGCGCAGCCACTCGGCGCTCAAGCAGGTCAAGACGGAAGCAGCGAGGCCGGATGAGGACTGCTTGGAATGCAACACGCTGAGGCAGAGGCGGCCAATCCCAGCTGATGCTCGAATCGCTCGAAGACGAGCTGGTGTCCATCCGCTGAGACCACCCGGGGTCTCAGCTTGCACGACCCCTAGAGGGAAGACCCTTAGCGCCCAGGACCTCCAGAGCAGCGGCACCCTTACGAGATTAGCGGAGCCCCAACAAAATTTTGATCCTCTGAGCTGCACACAGCCACACTTGAGCCAAAATGGCATTTTGATCCTCTGAGCTGCACACAGCCACACTGCGACGGAGAGATCAAAATTCACATGGTGAACAAATCAATCATGTTCATGAAAATTCATGCACCCATGACTTGCAAAAGTATAAAATGAAAATAAGGTGCTGTCTCGCTTGCGAGAAGGCGCTCATTCCAGGAAGTTTGCTTCATCCACCAACATTCCAGCTACTCCTTTCTTGGCAGATCCCGAGATGTAGGCGTGTCGGGCCGCATCGTTATCGAGGTAGATGATTACCCCAGTTCCAGCAGTCGCTCCATGCTGGGAATACGATTCAGCAAAGGCTGCAGTCTTGCCTGTCAGCAACTTTAAACCAACCAAAACCCCAAGCATTTCCAGCTCATAGATAATGGTTTGCTCTTCCTCTGTGGATAGCACTTGAGTTTGGAGTTCTGAGATCGGCACACTGAAGAACGACAGCGCTGTCCCACTCCCTGTAAGGAGCACACCACCTAAGCCACCAGACCTTGTCTCGGTTTCGAAGGCTGCATCGGTAAGTATCATGAACGATCTGCATGACACCTGTCCCACCAACCTGGGCTGAGCAGCGTCTAAGAACTTGCAAAAATCTTCCAAAAGGTCTTTGGTGTATCCCGGAATTTTTCGCCTCCCACCATAGGCATGTCTCGTGATCTCAACCAGACATCTCCTGCCCAACCTTCCGAAGAACTGAGCTTGTGCAAACTGTAATCGGCCCCTCAATTGCAAGGCCTCCTTCTGGCCCATCAAACCATTCTCCAGGAAACCTCTGATGGCTGTGACCAACTCCCGACGCCTTCGTTCGGTGTTCTTGACTTTTAGGACCACTGTCCCAGTTTGGTCCAGCTCAAACAAAACGCCCAAAGCTTCGAAACTTGTGCTCCACTCCGTAGTCTTGTCTGATGACAGCTTCCAACCTAACAGTTTCATGACCTCATCGAAGGTATACCCACATGAACTCCTGTCACCACTCAACGCGAAGAGAACAAAGTCGTCAAAGTAATTCGTCGTAGGGATTCTGGCTCCTTTCACCAGGATCGTCCAAAGCGCCCTCGCAACCCTCAAGAAGAAGTTTGCTGCTTTCGTGGAACCAAAAGGCACTGCCAGTTGCTGGAACAGTTTGGGCTTCCCCTCGACCGGGTCGTACACTGCTAAGTATGAAAATCTCAAACTTTCATCTGAAATGGCCAACTGTCGATAGGCGCTTTTAAGGTCAGCCGTCTTCCCGAAGAGTTCCAACAGTCCTTTTTTCCTAGCTGCCTTCGACAGCTTGGTGATTAGGAGTGCGATCTCATCGATTGAATGTGTAACAGGTTTCTCGGAGACGGTGACCGTGTCATTAATGAGACTGGAAGAATAGTTGTCGATAGGTCGGAGTTTGCCTCCCTGCATCAGAGGGAATCGGGAACTCACCAAACAACCTTTGGGGAGATGGCAAACGTCGAAAGGTCCTGCGAGATGACCCTTCTCAACCTCCTCTAACATTTTCTCCCACAACAGCGTGTCCATGTTTCTATCACCACTGGATATTGTCCTGGCGAAAATCTGTTCACACACCTGTTCGGACATGTCCACGAGTTGTTCAATGTCCATCCTGGCTGGCTTCAGCTTCGCATCCAAAACTCCCGTCACTGGGATAGGGCCTGCGAGCGTGGCTCCCTGAATGAGCTCCTGCACCACGCCCATATCATCATATTGAATGTCTTGAAGCATTTCTTGGAAGAGGAGGATACGTTTCGGTCCGAGGATCGCTCCTCGATGGGTGGACATGCCAGCCTTCAGCTGTGCTTCCTCTGGTTCCAGTTCTTTGGCTCTTCTAGCCCATTTCTCAAGGTAAAACTTTCTCTGGGACCTCACCGAACCTGGACGATGTACAAGTTGCTCGATCAACTTCTCTAATGGTTTGTTGCACTTAGATAGCTGATGATAAGGGTGTCCTAGCTTTGCTGCCTTTCCAATAAATTCAATCGGATCCCAAGGAATCCCCACTCTCAGCACTGAGGCACCATCCAGTTGCTGCATTTCCTGCTGAAGTTGCGGGCTCAAGTTCCCCCCT